GAGGGTTCGGATCCCACATACAGACCGGTTCCCGCTCACTGGCTGAGCGAGGCGCGGGAGCAACACCGAGGGTTGCGATCCCGTTGCCGGTCCCGGTCTGGTACAGGGGCAACACTGAGGGTTGCGATCCGTTGCCGGACACGGAAAAAGACAAAAAAAAAAAAAAAAAAAAAAAAAAATTCCCAGTGAAGGACTCTGATCATTATAACTTTGGTTCAATGCAACTTCTGGAGCAATTCCTGAGCGAAGTGAGGGCAACACTGCAATTGGGTGCCCACCCTTTACACCGATTGTATGTCAGAGAGGTGGGCTGTGTTGACGACCTATTAAAGCCAATGGTTAAGAGGTTCACCGAGGAAGTGAGGGGTGTGAGCTGGAAAAATATTGCTGTTTGATCCGCATATTAATCTCTTGATTTAAATGAATTGAATAAAATCTATTATAAAATGGATCTACATTATGCTATGTTATGCCATTTTTTCCTGTTTAACAGTGAGAAACAATATGAAATACAGGTTTTCTTCTTGCACACCTGTGACCAGTGAGGTTCTTAATCTCTTTAAGAACATACACACATACATATACATTATATATGTATATACATATAACATATAATTGTATATATAGTATGCATCATACATTTTATATGTATATAAGAAAGCCTTATAGCTATAAGCCTCATATGTAAGCCATACATGTTAATACAAACATTATACATTATGATGAACGTGGGCTACAGGAGTGAGAAAACCATACCTCGGACCTATAGGAATAAGTAGGTCTTGGACGATTGTCTATGAAGATTAGAACTCTAATGTTGATTTGCACATGATTTGTAGTCTTTTGTCTTCTTTGAAATAATAATGACTCTTTTGCAGAAATACCCACTGGGAGCTGGCAACTTTACCATGTAACATTGGAAGTGACCGTCCAATTTAGAGTGGTGTTTGAAGGACGCAGAGGCTCTGGTGCATCACTGGGTGGTCTGTCTATTGATGACATCAATCTTTCAGAAACACGGTGTCCTCATCTTACCTGGCGTATAAACGATTTCACACAGTACATTGGAAGCCCAGATGGAACTCTATATAGCCCTCCATTTTATTCTTCTAAAGGTTATGCCTTTCAGGTTCTCTTGGATCTAAGACAGTCGACTAATGCAGGGATATATTTACACTTGATCTCTGGAGCCAACGATGATCAATTACAGTGGCCGTGTCCTTGGCAACAAGCCACAATGACACTCTTGGATCAAAATCCTGACATTCGACAGCGTATGTCCAACCAACGGAGTATAACTACAGACCCATTTATGACCACCGGTTCGTGACTCATTTTATTTATTGCTAATACATGATCATTGCTCTAGGAGGGACAGATGATCTGAGAATGAGAGATTGCACAGCTGGTTACCTACAGAATTTTGATACCTGAATCTTAAAAATAGAATATATTTAGGGGCAAAGTTTCAACAACTGTGGACAGAGTCTCCCAGGCAGGAGACTGTCAGGAATGTCAGCAAGCACTCTGGCAAATAGAGATGATATTGACTGTATTTCTGGGAATTGATGACTATCCCTGAATTCCCAGTATTGTGCAAGGGATTTGGATTTTAGAGTCTGACATTCTGGGTTCAAATCCAAGGTTCACTTCTCAGGAGTATGTGACCTTGAGCAAATAATTTCTTGGAGCTCCAGTGTCCTCAGCTGTAAACTGGAGTGGTAATAACAATCTCACAGACTGTTATGAGAATTAATACAGATCAAGTACAGAAGCTTGTGGAAGGGCCTGATATGGAGAGGCCCTCAGATGTTGAGTTCTCCTAACCCAGGCTGCCTTGATCATGCTCCTGGGATTGTCAAAAACAATTTGGCTCTAGGAATAGGTGTAGTTTTTGATCAGAAGGAAGATGTTGGATAGGTGCACTGGAGTGTTGATGAGAAGGTTGTGGGAATGGATTATAACTTCTTATTAAAGAGTTCTGGAGGACTTGCCAATGGTGACATCATTTCTCATCTCCTGTCTCAAAAAGAAGCAGTATCCAGAGAGCAATGATCCCACTTCTAATTTTAATAGTTCCTTGCCTCTGAGAATCTAATAAGGGGGGGAATAAAAAAAGGAATTATGGCAAGATTATTGCCAAATCTGAATTCTGTGTGTGTAAAGGATAGACCAAAGTGACACAGAAAAAAACTCCACTTAATCCGATAGCAAAAATTATTATTCACAAATAATTGTAGGGACTTGATATTCAGAATTTCTTCACTTTTTACTAAAGTGTTTCTTTCCGAATGACATTGGGAATAGCTCAGGATTGGGTGGGTCATCACCTTTTCCCAAAAGAGTGCTTTTTGCTGTCTTTTACTCCTGAAGGACTTTGCTCTGATAGGTGACCAATTCAGTTAGTAAGATAAATTGTTCTAAGCTAATGTTAAAAACTCTCTCAGAAACTGTTTTAGTCCATTTTGTGTTGCTATAACAGAAACACCTGAGACTGGGTTATTTACAAATAAAAGAGGTTCATTTGGCTTACGACTCTGGGACAGCTGCATCTGGTAGGGGCCTCAGGCTGCTTCCACCCATGGTGGAAAGTGGCAGGCAGCTGGTGGGTACAAGCAGATCACATGGCGAGAGGAAGCAAGAGAGAGAGAGAGGAGGTGCCAGGGTCCTTTAAACAATCAGGTCTCATAGGAACTAATAGAGCGAGAACTCACTCATTAATCCCCCCTCCCCCAGGGAGAGCATTAATCCATTCATGAGGGATCCGCCCCCATGACTCAATCAGTTCCCAACACTGCCACGTTGGGGATCAAATTTCCACATGAATTTTGGAGGGGACAACACATCCAAACTCCATCAGCAGCATATTGCTTTAACTCAGTTAAATGGACTACCTAACTCAGAAGGCCACTGAGGTATGATTCTAACAGGCAGGGGGTTTCTACACTGACCAATAAGTGTGTGATATCTGCACCTAGGAAACTTTTGGTACCTCTCCACTCATATTTCAGAGTACAGTCCTCCCTGCCAGGCAATCTCATTTCCTTTAGGACAATATAAATGAACAAACCCCAGTGATTTGCCAGGGAATACATCGCAGGTCAAGAGCATCATTTCATTATTTTGAGCTTATCCTAACTGTGTTTCACATTGCCTGTTCTCTCCTACCACCAAAAGCTGTAATGATGCAAAAAACAACCTGTTAATATAAATTGCTTTTTCAGATAATGGGAACTATTTTTGGGACAAGCCTTCCAAAGTGGGAAAAGAGGTTTATTTCCCTAATGGAACTCAGTTTATGAGAAATACGGGTTATGGAACCAGTGCCTTTATAACCTATCAGAGGCTGCAAAGCAGAGATTTTATAAAAGGAGATGATGTTTTCATACTACTGACAGCAGAAGGTATGTCAATAAAAATAGTTTTAAACAAGCTAGTTTTTTGTTATGACCTTTGATTTTTTACTGTGTTCTTCTGAGTTTCGTTTTTAGGTTATATGAGTATAGAGATATGGGAGGAAATGGGCACGAATAGTATTTTCTTTAGTTTAAATTATTAATAACATGAAAATAATTTAAACAGTGAGGGTTCCAGGATAAACAATTTAATTCACCATCACATGGAGCAAGTGGAAACCTTCAGGCTGGAAAACCCTTTAGAAATAAGTTGAAGCATAGCTGTTTTACCCTAGGGTTATATTCTACGATTCCAGGAATAAAAATATCACATAAGCGCATGAAATTAAACTGGAAATGAACTATCTTATCTGTTTCAAATATATATATACACACACATATGTATACACACATGCACACAAGTATAGACACGCATATGAACATACATGTGAATGTACTTTGAAAACTTTGTGGAAAACTAGAATTAAAAGTTAATACAAATCTTTCCATGAACTTTTTGGAGACCCCTCATATATATATCTCGGCAGTAATAACATTAGCCTATTGTCTTTAAAAACTTCTTACTTGTGACCAATAAACACATTTTCCAGCAGTACTGGCTGTTTCCACATTTTAGGTGGTAGAATTTTAACTCATTTACTATGAAAAACCCACTTGCATCTCAGTAAATCAGAATCTTGTTTGTGATGAAAGGTGATGCAATTAAAACCCATGAAATTTTGACCTCAGTGTCCATTAGAGTAAATCCAGATGTTATTTGGAAAAAGTTATTCAAGAATAACTTTTGTCAAGAGAGAAAATATTTTATATAACAGAGAAAAAGTCATATATTCATTAATTCTCTTTGACCCTATTTGGACTAGAAGCAACAAATAACACTGCACAGAACATACCACTGGTTGTCAGGGCACCTGGTGTCTTGCTTGAAATCTCCAACAACTGGCTCTACCTAGCCAGAGACCTGTGGCCTTGGGCAAGGCCCTCGACTGCTTTACGTTTCTGAGCTTTGATTTCCTCGTTGGTCCCTTGAGGGTTGGTATCAAGGGCTTGTGCCCTTTAGAGCTCCAACAGCCCAGGCAAGCTTGTGGTTAAGCTGTAACCCAGAAGGCTGGCCCAGTTTCCCTTTGCCTCGTTCTTATTTCACTGCCTTGGAACGTTGCTGGACCGTGTTTAAGATTACCTGAAATTCTCACAAGACTGAAACCTGAATATCTTCTACATTGAAACTTAAAAATCAAATGATTGTTAAAGCAAAAGCTGATTTCTACCCATGCTCTCTCCTCGCCCTCCTTAGACATATCGCACCTCAATTCTACACAAATTGAATCAGTCCCAGCAACCACTGATGTCAATGAGCACTGTGCAAAAATCACATGTGAGAATGGCGGTGTCTGTGTTGTCCAAGATGAAAAAGCTGAGTGCAGGTAAGGGGTCACTTGGAAGAGATCTCCCCGTTCTTCTGCTAGAAATGTTATTCCCATAATGTAGGATTACGTACTCATAGTTCATATGAATGAAATCAGTTGATTCTCATCTCAAAGCCATTCATAGACTATTTTTTTTTTTTTTAAATCTCTCCATTTGAGACTTTGGATAGCCACAGAATAATAAAATTATTTATGAAAAAAATAGCGCATTACATTCTAATTAATTCTAACTCTAATAAAAAAGTTTTCATGAGTTTCATATCTTATTATCCTCTCAACAGTCTGGTGCTTTTAAGTGTGGCTGTCCCCACTTTCTAGATGAAGATACTGAAGTTCTGAGAAGACCTTGGCCAACGTGTTAAGCTAGAAGGTGGAGGGACTGGGACACTGAGAACTAAACTTACTGAGCTGCCTCTCTTTCCTACCTTGGAGCGACTGTTCTAGTAGCCCACTAAGAGTAATTCCATTTATTCTTTCCATTGCCCCTGGCTGGCCTCCTGGTGCTAGTCTCCTTCCATCCAGACTGGGAAACAGTTCCATATGTCAGTGATCCATGGGTGATAACATTAACACCTTTAACGGTGAAGATTTCCAGAGTTAGACGCCAGCTCATAACTCCGTGTCACATTCTCAATGTGCAGGTGTCCATCAGGAAAAGACTGGTGGTACAAGGGAGAAAGGTGTGAAACGAGAGGCTCAACCCGAGACATCATTGTCATTGCGGCTTCTTCCACAGCTGCTGTGTTCGCCGTGATGCTCATAGTCACCCTCGTCAGTGTTTATTGTACTAGGAAGAAATATCGTAAAAGGACGAGTTCAAAGACAGCAGATATGACTCTGGAAAATGTAAGTTGAATCTGATATTTGGTTATTCAAACCCTATTGATGAAATCACATGGAGAAGAATTAGGACATTTTTGATATAATTAAAAAAATTTGGGGGCCAGCCCGGTGGCGCACTGCTACAGTGCGCCGCTTGGGAGTGTGGCGGCGCTCCCGCCGAGGGTTCGGATCCCACATACAGACCAGTTCCCGCTCACTGGCTGAGTGAGGTGCGGGCGCAATACCGAGGGTTGCGATCCCGTTGCCAGTCCCGGTCCGGTACGAGCGCGACACTGAGGGTTGCAATCCGTTGCCGGACACGAAAAAAGACAAAAAAAAAAAAAGGAAAAAAAAAATTTTTTTTATTACCTTTTTCTCTTTGTTTCCTGTGCTGGGAACAACTGATTTGAGACTAGGAGTTCCTATTACCTTCACTATAAATCAACAATTCTTAAATTGGGGTCCATGGATTCTTCTTGGGGGAGTTCATTATCCTCCCAGAATTGTATACAGTTGTGCATTTTTTTCCTGGGGTACAGGTGGTCTCTGACCCTCCTGAAAGGCACAACTGATTTTGCCTGCAAGTTCCAACCTTCCTGGTAAAGAAAAGAGGTAGCCTGTACAAGTTTTTCTTCTAGAGGTCTTGTAGTGGTGGCTGAGGTCAGGCCTGGAGGAAGGAGGCGCAGGCATGTTTGAGGAAACTTTTCCATTAAAGAAGTTTGCAACTAATTCTGGCTTCCTTGGAGTACTAATTCTAAGGCAAGATTTTCCAGTAGAGCTTTTAAAGGCTTGCCTCAGAAAATCTCTAAAATGGCAATATACTCTTGAAACTATCCTGTCTCAGGTCGGGTCCTGTGGGAAGCAGATTGAGGTGGCCGTTTACATGCAGGAAGTTTACTAGGAGTATCCTGGGAATATCTGTAATGGAATGAGGCATGCTGGGCTGGGGAGAGGATGAGGTTGGATATGATGCTGTGGCAGCTGAGGCCTCAGCCCATCCTCTAGGGAGCTCTGGAGCTGGGATGGCTCTTCAGACATGTCCTGAATTGAGGGAAGGGGGCCAGGCCTTTGTATTGCCATATCAACAGCTATTGGATTGGGTGAGGCTACTTCCAAGGAGGTGGCATAACATTGAGCTAGGCAATGGCACTTCTTGCATGGGAGCCCTCATTCTGAAGGGCAGAAGTGATCAGTGCACCCTAACATCCACTACATACCCCAGCAGTACAGAGCACAGAGTTTCATTTGCAGATTCATATTCTTACAAAAGAACACAAAGAAAATGGCTAAAATCTGAACATCACTTAAAAGTGAAGCTTTAAAAGTCTACTAGTTCTGTTTCATTCAACTAGAGTCTCCGAAACTGGCTAGTGAAACTAATGAAAAAACATGCCCAATTGGAATATCTCTGAAAATAAGAATACTGCAATTAGCTAAAGCCAAGAATATATTTTCTTAAGAAAAATTATTGGTCAAGATGTAGTATATTTTAAATTATGATTTTTTTTAAGTGGACAACCTGGTATCAAGATACTAAGTTTTTCTGCAAAGTCAGTCAAAGGATGGACAATGATAATTAATCAAAAACAAATAGTTTTATTTTCACATACTGTTTTCCTATTCCCTCAACATCAGGAAGATGTTTAAAACTAATCATAAGGTAATAGATCAATTACATCCCAAACTTATTAGAAAAGTACCTAAAATGTACACAAGTTGTTTTGTTTTTATTTTTTTATTCATTTAAAAAATTTTTTTGGTAGCTGGCTAGTGCAGGGATCTGAACTCTTTACCTTGCTGTTCACAGCACCATGTACTACTGAGAGTTTTGTTTTTAAATAGGTATTCCCAGCTTGTTTTATGACTCAAAATAAAAGGCACAGATCAGTCAGTGTGGGACATGGTAGGGATAGTAAGTAGAAACACACACACACACAACACACACACACACAAACACACACACATGCAAAACCACCAAAATATTATAACAGAACTGTTTTGCCTGTGGATCATTTAAAACACATTCTCAAGGGCAAAGAATTGACTTATACTTTCCTCAGTCTAGGCATTTCTACAGTTAATTCACTGGTAAAAGATTCTCCAGATCTAGTTTAGATCTTAAATCAGAATGACGTTTCTGAGGTCAAAGTGTGTTCACCCTAATGCTTTAGCATCTGAACAACGTGAGTTGGAAGGTCCAGGGCATCTTTCTGGAGGCCAGGAGTGGGAGCCACTTGCCAGCTGGGAGGAATGCCAGGGGCCTGCTGATGGGGACTTCATTTAAAAATAAGACTGTTCCACAGTGATTCATTTAAATGACAGTTTTTAAATTTAGATATTAAGTCATCAATTGTTCTTTCCCCTTTTAGTCACATGCTCTTTGAAGATTAACTCAACAATACGGCCAACAAATGAAATTTAAAAGGATTCTTCATCATGGATTTCACCTAAGCTATATATTACAACCAGCACATTCTTCTAAAAATGGATCTTCTCTGTAAAATAGCTGGATGTATTATAAATCATTATTTTGGTAAAAGTCAAATTGGTGAAATTTCTTTCTTTCTTTCTCTGTTTCTTTCTTTCTGTCTTTCCCTTTCAGCAATTTGGGCTCCTCTGTAAGTATAACATTGCTTAGAAAAGAAAGCAACCTTTAGAGATAGCTTTTCAAATTACTGATCCTTCTATTTGGGGACCAATTGTAGTGGCCTAACAAGTGATACCCCCAAAACCCATTGGAAACATCCAATGGGAATGATCCTCCATGTGGAATCTCACCAGTTTCAGTGCTACCCTGTTCCGATGCAGGGAAGGGCACTGGGACAGCTCCCCCCACTCTGGTGACATTCGCCTCTCTCCAAAAACTCGTGACTCTCTCGTTTTCTCATATAATTCCTTTGGTATGTAAGCTTGGTTTAAAATTTGTTTGAGCATATAATCAGTCCACAAGAAAACTTTTAACTTCTTGAGCAGCAATTCTCAAAGTTTTGAGTCTCAGCAGCCTTTACACTTAAAAATTACTGAGGACCCCAAAGAGCTTTTGCTTATGAGCATTCCATTGATCAGTATTTGCCTCATTAGAAATTCAAACCAGGAGCATTTAAAACTATGTATTTGTTAATCACTAAAAATAATAACCTCATTACATGTTAACATAAATTTTTTTTAATAAAAAATATATTTTCCAAAAGCAAAAGAGGGAGGTTGGTTTATATTTTTTTGCCTATCTCTAATGTCAACCTTAGTAGAAGACAGGTGATTTCTCATATGTGCCTCTGCATTCAGTCTGTTGCGATATATTATTTTGTTGGAAGGATATGAAGAATATCTAATCTCACAAAGATACGTAGTGGGAAAAGAGAGGCCTATCTGAAGAGCTTTTTCAGGTGAATGTGAATATTCCTTCTTAATTCTTTGTTAAACGTTGACAAATGGTAAGTTCTTAAAGGTTAGTTGCAATTGGAATCTGAAACCTATATTAAAGAATTTTTGTACTCTGTCCAGTAAAATCTACTGGTCTACGTTGTATTTTGAATGGGTCTTTCAGCTATGCGTGACTTCGTAATATTATGTATCAATCATTTAGAAAATATTGGTTCACTGAGTTATGCCGCTCTTACAACATTTGACACTCTTATCAGTCCGTTTTGTGTTGCTATAACAGAAATACCTGAGACTGGGTAATTTATAAAGGAAAGAGGTTTATTTGGCTTACGATTCTGGGACAGGTGCATCTGGCATGGGCCTCAGGCTGCTTCTACTCATGGTGGAAAAGCAGCAGGCAGCTGGTGGGTACAAGCAGATCACATGGCGAGAGGACGGTGCCAGGGTCTATTAAACAGCCAGCTCTTTTGGGAACTAATAGAGTGAGAATTCACTCAGGTCCCCTTCCTCCAGGGAGAGCATTGATCCATTCATGAGGGATCCGCCCCCATGACCCAAACTGCCACATTGGAGATCAGATTTCAATGAGTTCTGGGAGGACAATACATCCAAACTCCATCAGATACATTTCATTATGTTCAGTAACAAAACATTAGTTAATATCACTAATACTGATCTTGTTAAAAAAAAAAACTTTAAGTCTTGGGAAGTTGTTATGCTCATGTTGGCAGAAACACATTTTCTGAAGTTCTTATTTTCACTTGAAAGCTTAAATTTTATCATTGGCAACAAATACTGTTTTCCTTGTAGCAACAGGCTCATTTCATTTCATTTTTTAAAAAAATTCCAATTTTATTTTGAGATAGTAGATTCACAAGCAGTTGTAAGAAATAATACTGAGATATTTCTTGTACCCTTTATTCAGTTTTCCCTGGTGGTAACGTCTTGCAAAACCATACATAGTAGGGCCGGCCCGGGGGCGCACTGCTACAGTGCGCCCCTTGGGAGCACGGTGGCACCCCCGCCGAGGCTCC